TCCCTGAACTTATTGAATATGTACTCTTTCACAAATTAAATAAGATAGCCATGGGGTATGGTCGTATTGCTGTACAAGTGAGGCTTGCTGACAACTAGCTGAAGCTGAATTCAAGGATCTGTGTCGACGAGTCAGGTCCGCGATGTTCCGTAGGTCTGTCTGAAAATTCGCCCGAGAATCCGTGACGTTTCCCTAGCTTGGTAGTTCTACTGACAGGTTCGTCACCACGTAGTAATATCGGCCGTAAGCTACTCGCACTGATGCGTAATGTCCATGACTCCTTTTTGGTGGGTAAGTATACTTAGGTGCACCCCACTTTAGCTATACCGTGCCGCCATCGCACTGACCGAGAAAAAAAAATACGCCACATCGATCAAGGTCGTACTTGTTATCGTCCAACGTCGTATGGCTCCCTGCCTGGATCATGCGATGGTCGAAGCGCCATCTCGGATTGGTTCGCGTTCCGAAATTGGGAATCTCGGTGAAATGGCGTGCCGACAATACAATTAACCTTGCTACACAGTAGTAGGCAATGATGGAGTTTTTCTGTACACTTGGGATCTGGCTGAGCTTGGGTAATAAGTGGGGTGGTGATCGTTTGGGGGTGTTTTGCGATAGGCAAGGGGCTTGCTTACGTGACACCAAGGACAGCCAGAACCCTGGTGTTTGATCCTCAACGCTACGCAGATGATCGACAGGATACCGCCTCAGGGACATTCCAAGTCGACGCCTAGAAGAACATGGGCTTTGTACCTTTTCCCCCTTCGTCCCGTTTGAGCGATTGGTCCAGGACAGAGTCCCAACTTGGAGTGTGCGATGATCGGAGGGCGGTGCGGGGTAGTATGGCGGGCCAAAGGCAGTGAGACAGCTATTGTCTCCACGGAGTCTGTCCGATGCCCCTCCACCCCCGCACATCCCCTCCAAAGAAGGTTTGGCGACCATGAGTTTTACACACGGCCTATTCCTCTTTCGACAGTATACCCAGGAATTAGACGCGTCTACGGGTTGTACCAAGATGGAATACCGAATTGACTTTACCAGCTGACTACGCTTCTTCTGACTTTTAACCTTCATGAGTCTGCGCGTTGTCTCGTCACCGCAACTCTCTCGTCCTCGTTACATCAATCTTACAGCATTCGTTTCGATCTTCTCCGCACTAAACACACCGACGTCATGGGTGTAGGCGACGCATCCATCCCCTCGAGCGAGCGCCCTGAGTTTGGGTCGGTCAATCTTCCATTTGGTGTGTTTCCAGCCTCGTCAACCAGCCAGTCTGTCGATGCTTCCAAGATCGCCGACGAGGTCGTTGCCCGCTTCAACAATGCAATTGCGAAGAATGACTATGCAGCCGTCTCGGACCTCTTCTGCAAAGAGAATAGCTACTGGAGAGATCATCTGGCTCTTTCTTGGGAACTCCGGACAGTAAAGGGTAGCTCGGGCATCAAAGCATATCTAGACTCTAGCAAAGTGCAATTGACAAAACTCCAAATCAGCAAGAGCTCCGAGTTTCGAGCTCCAAAGTTTGGTGCGATAGACCTCCTCGGTGAAGTCAAGGGCGTCAACTTCTTTGTGAATTTCGAGACTAGTATCGGTCACGGCGAAGGTGTAATGAACCTGGCTGACGACAACGGCCAATGGAAGATTTTTACACTCTACACTTTGCTACAGGAGCTCAAAGGCCACGAGGAGCCTCTCAATCATCGCAGAACCAAGGGTGTAAAGCACGGTGGTGACCCTAACAGGAAGACCTGGAAGGAGATGCGGGACGCGGAAAGAGAGGGCATTGATCCTACAGTACTCATCTTGGGAGCTGGTCAGGGTGGACTTACAGTAGCTGCACGACTGAAGATGCTCGGTGTACCTGCATTGATGATCGACCAGAATGAAAGAGTGGGCGACAACTGGCGCAAACGCTATCGGCAGCTCGTGCTACACGATCCAGTATGGTATGACCACCTACCATATGTGCCTTTCCCTGCGCATTGGCCAGTGTTCACACCCAAAGACAAGCTTGCCGAGTTCTTCGAAGCGTACGTAAGCCTTCTTGAGCTCAACGTTTGGACTTCCACATCTATCAAGTCGACCTTGTGGGATGAGGGTAAGAAGCAGTGGACGGTGACGGTCGAGCGCCGAAAATCGGATGGAAGCACTGAAACGCGGACACTGCACCCACGACATATTGTGCAGGCGACTGGTCACTCGGGCGAGAAGAACTTTCCCAAGATCAAGGGCATGGAGAGCTTCAAAGGTGACCGCCTATGTCACAGCTCTGAGCACCCAGGCGCGAATCCAGAGTCAAAGGGCAAGAAGGCGATAGTTGTAGGAAGCTGCAACTCTGGTCATGACATCGCACAAGACTTCTTCGAAAAGGGTTACGATGTGACTATGGTTCAGCGTAGTACAACATGCGTGGTCACCTCCACCTCTATAACTGATATCGCAAACAAGGGCCTCTACGACCAAGACTCGCCACCTGTCGATGATGCTGACCTTACTTTTTGGAGTGTGCCAAGCGCATTACTGAAATTGATACAAACGAAGGTCACTGCAGCCTCAGCCCAGGCCGACAAGGAGATTCTCGACGGTCTTCGTAAGGCCGGCTTCGGCCTGGATAAAGGACCAATGGACTCAGGTTTGCTGATGAAGTATTTCCAGCGTGGTGGAGGCTATTACATCGATGTCGGTGCATCTCAACTGATCATCGATGGCAAGATCAAGATCAAGCAGGGCCAGGAGATTTCTCAAATCCTACCTAACGGCATTGAGTTTGCCGATGGCGACAAGTTGGAAGCTGACGAGATCGTGTTCGCAACCGGGTACCAGAACATGCGTACACAGGCACGAAAGATTTTCGGTGACGAAGTCGCGGACCGTGTGAATGATGTTTGGGGCTTCAATGAAGAGGGTGAGTTCCGTACCATGTGGCAGAAGAGTGGGCACCCTGGTTTGTGGTTCATGGGCGGCAATCTTGCTCTGTCTCGTTACTACAGCAGGATCTTGGCATTGCAGATCAAGGCCATCGAGGAGGGAATTGCGGGTGCCTCGGGGTCAGTTGCAAGGGCAAACCTATAGATTTATAGTGTTGTTTAGATCGTACATAATGCAAGACTTGCTAGAAGTTTCAACATGCTATCCGCAGTGGTGCTATCCCTCTGAATTTTACCTATTTCGCACCTAGCGCGGGGCACACCTCCACTTCCAGGCATCTCGATACGCACAAGCTCCGAATCTTCGCAAGCCATCACGTCATTGGAACGCTTATGTTCAATCCATTTGTATCTTTTTTCAGCCCGAACAGAAACATACATAATACCATCTTTATATCTCTTTCACGTTCCGCGCATTTAAACCATGTCGTCCAAACCCCAAGTCGTTCTGGTCGTCGGCGGAACCTCCGGAATCGGGTATGCAATAACGCAAACCATACTTTCGGGCCCATATCTCCCGCTCAACACCAAAGTAATAGCATTCGGCCTCATCGACTCGAGCATAAAACTCGAGTTTACCAAGCAGCAACGAGAGCGGCTGCGCATTGTTGAAGGCGATGTGACGGTGGCTGAGGACCGTGAGTTGGCGGTGCGAACATGCTTCAATGTGTTTGGTGGCCTCGACACGTTAGTCTACTGTGCGGGCATCATTACGCCGATTCAACGGCTGGAAAAGCTGGATATTGAGGCTGCGAAGCGGAGTTTTGATGTTAATGTTTTTGGGGCTATGAGTATGGTATGTCTCACCCTGGTCCTGCCCTGTTCCGTAAATCACTTTCAGCAACTGCATTTGCTAAAAAGAGTGGACAGGTTCAACTTGTCCTCCCACATCTTCGTGCATCAAAGGCATCCCACCCACATAATTATGGGCGTGGCAGAGTCATTATCCTTTCTTCAGCCTGCGACAGTACAGTGTCGTATCACGGCTGGATGCCCTACAGCACCACCAAAGCTGCACTCACACGCTTCATTTCATGTCTTGCGCACGAAGAGCCTCTGCTCAGCGTTCAGGGTGTGTATCCAAAGTTGACGCGGACGAAGATGATTGATGGGCTTGTCGAAGGCAAGTACAGAGGCGTAATGGCGGATCATGAGATTGAGAGGTTCAGGATTTGGGACGATATGGGAGATGAGATGGTGGAGCCTCCTGAGCTTTGTGGGGATGCTGTTGCGAAGTTGGCGCTTGGATTGTTTGAAGGTGGTAAGAGTGGGGAGACTTTGTATTATGATGAGCATGTTCCGAGCAAGATTGCAGGAACGTGAATTAGATGAAATCCCAAGAAGCTCTCTTTCTTATCTCAAATAAATCCATGTGCCGAATTGATCTTTCTTAGTATTTTTGCCGGTTGGGTATTCGTTGAGTTGTGGAGTTTTGAGGGAATAAAAAGTGAGTAAATGAAATGGAAACATGTTGAAACAATTTTAAGAAAAAACAATACAAACAACGAGTCACGGGGGATCCAGAAACTATACTAAGCATTCCGCCCAAATATGTTGATAATGGAGCATAGAAGTCACATGATTATTGCGTATCAACCTACCCGATTGGGTCCAACAAAAAAGCAAGGGGAAGGAAATCTGGGATAGGCATGGCTGGTCACGTGGCTGCCAAGAGAGTAAAGGGGATAAGGGGATGATTTTCGCAAGGGTTTGGAACATCACTGACGTTCCTCAACTATCTAATCTACACCATTACCACGAATGCTCTTACTACGGCATAAAATTCTAGACCAAAGCCGATGTATTAGCTTCCAAACATGCCAAATGAAGTCAGGAGCCACTTCATCTTCCCTCAGCTACCTGCAACTCAACGATGAACACTAATGACTATCACAATAGCAAACTTGTCAAGCACATATATGTAAAATCAATTGCATTGCTAAAATTTCAATCTAGAGCATAAAACAAACAGGTAACAATATATGGTTAAGAAGATGCGCTCAGCGACATACCCGACACGATTGGCTCTGCCCCGTTCTGGGTCCAGCTTCACCACCACTAGTAGCCGTGTACCTAGGCTTGTGGTTGCTCCTGGCCCTGGACAGATCCACCGATCTGAATGATATCAGCGAAGGCACCGAGACCATCACCAAATCCGCCGATGACCTTGCCAATGTTGTGGCCGCGGCTGCGCTGAGGGTCGCGCTTCTGGTTCTGGCCTTGAATGGCTCCGCCGATGGTACCCAGATCGATAGCACCGCCGATGACACCGCCAACACCCTCAAGAACGTTGCCGATGATGCGACCCTTGCTGCGCTGGGGCTCGCGCTTCTGAGGTGGCTGCTGGCCCTGAACAGCTCCGCCGATGGAGATGACATCGGCGAGGGCACCAAGACCATCACCGAGACCCTCGATGGCTTTGCCAATCTTGTGGCCACGGCTACGCTGAGGATCACGCTTCTGGTTCTGGCCTTGGATAGCTCCACCAATGGTGCCCAGATCGATAGCACCGCCGATGACACCGCCAACACCCTCAAGAACGTTGCCGATGATGCGACCCTTGCTGCGCTGGGGCTCGCGCTTCTGGGGTGGTTGCTGGCCCTGGACAGCTCCACCGATTTGTACGATATCAGCGAAAGCACCAAGACCATCACCGAGTCCCTCGATGACCCTGCCAATGCTGTGGCCACGGTTGCGCTGAGGCTCGCGCTTCTGGGGTGGCTGCTGGCCCTGGACAGCTCCACCGATAGAGATGACATCGGCGAGGGCACCGAGACCATCACCGAGTCCCTCGATGGCTTTGCCAATCTTGTGGCCACGGTTGCGCTGAGGATCGCGCTTCTCGTACTCAATCGCTGGCGCCAACAAGCCCACTGTCGAGTGTTCCGCATCAATGCTATTGACTTTGTCATCGGCGACTAGTGAAAGATCCCTCTTTGCAGCTGGTTGAGAGTCTTGCGGAGCGAGGGTAAGCAGATCTCCGGCGATTCCAATACCCTCGCCAAAGCCTTTGAAAAAGTTGCCAATGCGACGGCCGCGCTGAGGGTCTCTCTTCTCATTCTGGACTTCGGGGAGGTCGTCGTCAGTGGACTCACTGGCTACTATTGGTTGGTCGAGATCGTCCACAACTGTGAGGCCTCTCTTCTGGTTCTGGCCTTGGAGAGCGCCTCCAATAACGCCTAGGTCTCCGACAATCCCAACACCCTCGCCAAATCCCTTGATAAAGTTGCCAATGCGACGGCCGCGCTGAGGGTCTCTCTTCTCGTTTTGGCCTTCTGGGAGGTCGTAGTCGTAGTCAGTAGACTCACGGGCCACTACTGGCTGACCGTGCTCGTCCACAACTGTAAGGCCCCTCTTCTGGTTCTGGCCCTGTGCAGCGCCGCCGATTGTGAGGAAATCCGCAACAGCACCGACACCACCAGCGAATCCCTCAGCGATGTTGCCAATGATACGGCCTTTGCTGCGCTGAGGATCGCGCTTCTCATTCTGTCCCTCCGCGAGGTCGTAGTCAGCGGGTTCACTGACCACTACTGGTTGACCGAGATCATCCACGACCGTAAGGCCTCTCTTCTGATTCTGACCCTGAACAGCTCCGCCGATAGTGAGGAAATCTGCGGCAGCGCCAATGGCTCCACCAATTCCCTCGCCGATGTTGCCAATGATACGGCCTTTGCTGCGCTGAGGATCGCGCTTCTGGTTCTGAGGCTGGCCCTGGACAGCACCGCCAATTGTGATCAGATCTGCTGCACCACCAATGACTTCACCAATTCCCTCGCCGATGTTGCCAATGAGACGGCCACGGCTGCGTTGAGGATCCCGCTTCTGGTTTTGACCCTGGACAGCGCCGCCGATAGTGAGGAAATCTGCGACAGCACCGACACCGCCAGCAATTCCTTCACCAATGTTGCCAATGATGCGGCCCTTGCTGCGCTGAGGATCACGCTTCTGGGGCTGGCCCTGGACCGCGCCGCCGATAGTAAGCAAGTCGGCAGCACCGCCAATAGCTCCACTGATTCCCTCGATGACGTTGCCAATCTTGTGGCCACGGCTGCGCTGAGGATCACGCTTGTCAACCAATTGGTGAATGGCATCACCCCTAATGCTGTTAGTCTAATGCCTTGTAATGTTTGCTATAGAGGACTTACTGCTCAGGCTTGTATTGAAGATCATCAATGGTTAGAAGCCTGGAGGAGGGGTTGATGCCAACAGAGGGGTTGAGCGGCGCGCCGTTGACAGCCATGCCGGCAGTGAAGGCCAAGATGACAGCGATAGTGGAGGAATGCATATTGAAGGAGTGCGTGGGGTTTGGTAGGAGTGAAGTTGGGTAAAAAGACCGGCTTGAAGTTGCGAATTCGACTTTCGAAGTGAATTTGAAAAGTGAGTGATCGTCAACCTGCGAGACCGAGAAAGAATGGAAGTGATGATAGATCGAGTGATGCTGATCTGATGATTTGCAAATGATGCGCAACTGCCTATCTTTATACCACTCGAGATGCGATACCTCTTGAAAACACAAACACCAGGCTTGAATGCCAAGTTGTTACTACAGTATCAACGATACAGATACCAAGACAGGAGCATAAACACGAGAAACATCAGAGTCCCTTAGCATAGGCGTTACTCGTCTAGCATTCACAGCGCACGGCCTAGGTAGCTGTCAGCGACTATACTCTAATTTGCACACGCTAACAACTAGCTAGGACAAACATATCGAGCATGAAGAGTTCTGTTGCGCAAGCATGGACAGTTGCGGCACGTGAGCATGAATGGTTCAGTCAAGAGTAAACAGTTGGTATGGGTGTCACGTGTTTCAAAGCCTTCTCGAAGACTATGCGTTGACTTTAGCTTTGTCTGGGCACTCTAAACCAGTCTTAAACAGGTAGTGTCACAATGTGTAGCTACTCAGAACCCAAACTGTGCTAATTATGCGGTATACTGTATCTTTTGGCGCCATGTAGCGTAATAGAGCCGAACCGCTCCCGCGTGAGTTAGCGTCGTGTTACACATGCCTTGATCAAACAGTTTCACTACTAAATTTAGTTTACCCCGTAAAGAATCCATGAGAATACACAGAGTGCGCTATACCATAGTATCGCTGTCTAGGCCCTCTTCCTCTTCCCTTTTCCCCACAATACTGCTTACCTCAACACTAAAAGTCATGTACCAAGGCCCATCATGCGCTACCCCCGTCCCCCAAGATGCCGTTTGATCGACAGCAGCGGAGCATTGCTTAGCATACCTTAGAATCAGGGGGCTTTCAAAAACAGTTTCCTCTTCGAGAGAACCTGCAGCTCGCAGGATCAATACACTATCTACTGTGTGGAGCAAAAACATCATCGCGACTGAAACTCGCCAGAAACCACCACACGAACAACGATGATACTATTACTCACGAAAAAGCCATGCCAAAACTAACCGCAACACCACGATGTCTCTACTAAGAAATATTCGGTCTTACAGTATCAGCCCAGTGAAACACGTGCAAGGCACGTGCAACACCGCTGGCTCTCAAAGGCATTGGCGACGCCTAACGTCAAACCAGCAAAGACCCTCTTGGCAACTACACCAGAGCAAACAGGCCTAGTATACCTTTAACCTATTCTTTTCTTGCAAGCGTCTGTGCAACAAGCCCTAAGAAGGCCTCAGCGCTATGATCACGCCTTTTTTCTGAAACTGAGGGGGTGAGAGTTTGTGCGCGCATGCGGCTCAAAGCGCAAGGCGTGAGCATTGTCCCTTTTCTTTTCTTAACTCCCCTCTATCTATCTTTTCTTGGGTGCGGGGGGTGGGGTGGGGGTACGTTTGGAAGGCATGAATGGGGGAGTTAGATCACATGCAGAATATAGTAACAAGACATCCTTTTTTTGTCTACCTGAGGAGGTGGGGTGGTAAGAGGGCTTGGTGTGGTTTGTGTTTGACGGGTTGCCAGAAACATTTGGTGGGTTAAAGCGATGATGGTGGATTGTGGGTCAGCAATAGTTGAGGTCGATATAGAAGGGACCGAAATAGATCTCCAAGAAGGCTGGGGCGCATGGGGTCTGGGGGCGATGACGGAGAGAGACTGGTCGAGGCTCTTGAGGCTCTTGCGCGGATCTTGCGCATTGAGGCGTGGAGGTGTGACGGGGGAGATGTGTGCGAAGGTGTATACAATACGTTTTTCGATTCAACGGACCGTAACCAAACGAGATCAGATGAAGCGGCATGTGTGTAAAACGACGACACTCTGTGTCGACCTGGTTTGCGTCTGAACATATTACAGCAGCACCTTGATGCGAAACGAAGACGAATATCTCACCGCGAACTGTCGCCGTTTGACTTGGATCTGTCAAAACACGTGATGAAAACTGTTAGAAGAGGCAGGAGCAATGCTGGCGCCAAACAGATGTATAGGTGTTGCACGTGTCTGACACGGTGCAACGTGGAAGACTCGTTCTCTGGGAGCGATGGCGCAAACTTTGTGCGAGCTGTCAGATTATAGTCTGTGACGAGCGTGATGCCGCTACAGACAGAACGCCAAGTCCATGAACCAGATTATTATCTAGTGACTTGTATGGCGCTTGTCTCGGCAATGTGACAAAGTAATAATGTGTGGTTTGGCTTCTGATGTCATTGCTCCTGAGGCAGAGATGCTGAGTTGCTTAGAAACTATGACTGACAGTGAACACAGTGATTTTTCTGAAATATGTCTTGCTCTCTGAAATATCATACATATTTTCTGAAGATATATGCCAGCAAAAGATCCCAAAAAAACAATGAAGAGTTATTTGTGTAACCGGTCGGTGATGGAACAGAGCTTTATAGTAAATGCAGTACCCGTCAAAATAATGACCCTGCTCACAACTGGCTTCCCGCACTACAGCGCACCAAAAACCACTCATTTCTTAATACAGACGCTTGAAATACATATGTAGAAACATGTATTTTTTGATACCGGATTCCGGCAGATTGGGGTGCGTCTGCCATTCATTTCTGAGAAAAGTAATCTGATATGCTATATGGAAAACAGATGGAGACAACTGAACCCAAGTCATAATCGAAACAGAAAAAAGAAATCAAGTAGCAAGAATTTTACCATGATGACATTACGTGTTACTCATGTCGTTACTGTACAATGCATCCCACTGACATTGCCCTGTGTTGGTGGTGACAGTTTTTCCTCCAGCATAATATTCCACCAAGAATCAACACACCACACATACACCACAGGCTTCCAAATCGCAATGACTGAATTATTATGTCCAAGAAAGAAAAGAAAAAAACTCTTCTTTGAAATCACTTGGGATAAAGAACAGAAGCAACAAGATTTCAAAAAAGAAGAAGAATTCTGAATCTGTATTCCCTAGCTACAGGTTCGAAATGAAAAAGTGTCTGCTTAACAAAAGAACCCGGCAATCCTACACCTTCTCCTTCTCATCGCCAACAACATGCACCTCAACCGGCTCCACTGTAATCTCGTCTGTCGAGAAAGTCCTGGACCGCCTAAACATAGCGTCCTCAAGCGACTCATACACACGTGTACCTTTCCTGTCCGCATCCTCACCACCAACACCCGGTGTATCACGCAACGCCCATCCAAACCGGGCAAAGCGCTCGCGCACCCGCTCGTTCAAGCCTACAAGTCTAAACTGTGTGTTCTTACCGCCAAACGCCTCGATATCAGCCTTGAGATCTTTGAGCGCAGTCAGACCAGTAGTGTCAATGTTGTGCATGGCGCGCATGTCGATGACGACGTTGCGGATTTGGACAGGCTCATCGATAATGTCTGCTTTGGAGCGGAGACGTGCAGCGCGGTCTTTGCCAGCGACACTCCAGTTGCGGTTTGCGTGCGCAGCTTCCAGTGTTGCGACATCGCCCGAGTTGTATGTTTGGATGTTGTCGAGGCACTGGTTCTTGATGTGGTATGCGTTGTAGAAGAGCATCGATTGGTGGATACGGAAGACTTGGGTGTCCATGGGGACGGCATGTGTACCTGGTATACGCGCGTTGGATTCTACAGCGATGGACGTGACGCGGCGGACGCGGTGGAAGGCCATGAAGAGGAGGTGGTAGACAATGTTGAAGCCGACCGCCGTGCCGATGCCGACTTCGGATGAGACGAAGAGGGTGAGCCAGAAGGCGAGCATGGAGGTGATGAAGTCGACTAGAGAGGTGCGCCAGTAGCCGTAGAAAACTCTGACGGGGACTACAATGTGCCATACTGCTGTGACGATGATGGCTGCTAGTGTGGCTTTGGGGATCCAATATAGTGCTGGCGAAAGCTTGAAGATGCTCAGGATGACTACGCCACCAGCGACTAGACCGTAGGCAGGTGACTTGACCCCGGACTCAGAGTTGACTGCAGTCCGTGACATGGCGCCTCCGACAGACATGGATGAAAAAAACGAGTTGAAGAAGTTGGCGAAGCCAAGGTAGACAAGCTCTTGGGCAGCATCGGTTACATACCCGTTCTTTCGACCGAATGCCTTGGCGATGGCTAGATGTTCGAGCGCCGCAGCTATAAAGGGGGCAATGGAACGAGCAAATACTTTGCTGATGAGAGCTGAGTCGGGCATGCGGGGCGTTGCGATGCCATCGGACTTGACCTTGCTGAGCGCCCAAATAGGATCATCCTTGTCCTTGTTGACAGCGTATGAGATACCCGTGAAAAGAACCAGGACAACAGCACTGCGTCCAAGTGCTAGTAGCCAGATGACCTTGCTCTTCTTTCCCCAGCGCTGGCCCATCTTCTGCATGAGATAGAGCAGCAATATCCCACCAAGACCAACTCCACAAGTAGGGCCATCGTATTTGGGTATCTTAGCGAAGAGGTCGTGTATGATGTTGGCTGTGCCAGAGCCGACCGAGATTCCGAATAGAGATGGAATCTGACCAAGCATAATGACAATGGCTGCCGCCGAGATGAAGCCGCTCAAAACTGGTACAGATATAAACTCCAGCAGGAATCCCAATTTCAGTAAGCCAAGCGCCATAGAATATATACCAACAGACATGGCGACGGCTGACGCAATGGCCTGTGGACTGTATCCGTCTTTCAAAATGTCTTCGATAATCTCGGCAGTCAACAGACCCATAAGTGATGTCGGGCCAGTTGAGAGATCTGAGATTGCTGTTAGTCTAAGAACTTTACAAGAACGAGTGTAGTACCTTTTGAAGTGCCCATGATAAGGTAGAGGAAGTTGGGTAGCCAACTCGACATAAGACCATACTGCCCTGGAATTGTGGCAATCTTTGCGTACGCAAGTGACTGAGGGATAAGCAGTACACCGACTGTGATTCCAGCCAGAGTGT